CCTGAAGAACAAAGTGGGGACATTTGCTGTAACTTATATCAAGACTTTTAGGAAAGCATACAAAATTTGAACAAGTGGATTTAAATGCAGAGAACAACACAAAGGAATGGAATTCACACTGAGATGTAGAGAGGGGATGGTCTTTTCCTAAGTGATGTGTAGACCATTAAGCATCTAGGAAAATAGAAGAAAATTGAAATTAGCCTCATACCACCCAATTAACCCTAGGCATGTAGAGACGTCAGTGGGAATGGTCAAATAAGCCTTTTATCAGATAATATGGTTAAATGACCTCAGAAATGAAAGTTTTAAAACAAAGTAGAAATGCAGAAACCACAAAACACAACTTGATATTTGTGTATAACAAACCAGTAACTTAATTTTACCAGAAACATTACAAAACAACGAAAAGGTAGGGCAGAAAAATGAGGATGTATACACACGTAGCCATCAACTTTCTGGCATTTAATTATATAAAAAGCTCCTAAACGAATATGAAAAAGAAGGGTAATGCTATAAAAATTAGGCAAAACTTGAACAGTGACACCACAGAAAAGCAAATACCAGGATGACAAAAATAATCACAAAGATTCCTCACCTCGTGAGTCATCAGACCATGCAAGAGACAGCACAGGGGGTGTAGCCTCACTGCCACTAGGTTTCCAAGAGTTGACAACCCTGAGATGGGCAAGAGGGTGGATCCTCAGGAAGCGTCCTTCACTGCAGGTGAGATCAAGGCCTACACTAAGGTGAGAGAAAGGATCTGGCCTCATCTAGGAAGGGTGAGGACTGCATGATTCCACTGCTCTGGTCCCAGAGGAGGTGGACATGGGCGATGCCGTTCCCAACGTGTCTCTGGAACAGCACGCACAGCTCAGGGGCAGAGTGTGGACATAAATTGTGTCCCTCGTTGTTGAGAAGGTGGGAGAGCTTCTCTAGGCTGCACAGCTGGTGCACAGCCTTGAGAAGTTTCCTGTCTTCCTGCCTCCCTGTTGAGTGGTTCTTTCCCCAGTGCTGCATCTTCACTTAGATTCTATCTTTGACCCTATGAATCCCTCCCTTCTGTCCGCAGAGCCCTCGGTGGTGTTTGCCAAGGAGCAGCCGGCGCGCAGTGAAGTGCAGGCCATGGCGGGGGCAAGTGCCACGCTGAGCTGCGAGGTGGCCCAGGCCCAGACGGAGGTGACATGGTACAAGGACGGCAAGAAGCTGAGCTCCAGCTCCAAAGTGCGTGTGGAGGCCACAGGCTGTGGGCGGAGGCTGGTGGTGCAGCAGGCGGGCAAGGCGGACGCCGGGGAGTACAGCTGTGAGGCCGGGGGCCAGAAGGTCTCCTTCCACCTGGATGTCACAGGTCAGTTCTTGAGGATACTAAGTCCACCTGTGTGTACGGGATGACAGGACTGGCTTACAGCCTCAACAAACTTTTGTGCACCTGCCATTAGACATCCTCTCATTATGTCTCTTCAAGTTAGGTCTATAAAGTAGGAATGAAAGGAAAAAGTCACTTCTGCCGCATCAGTGTGCTTTGCTGATGAGGAATGAATAGAACAGAAGCCCCTGGCTGGTAGGAAGTGTATATTTCACTGCTGTTTTAGAGCCTGGAGTATTTTCCAGTCCCCTTCTCACCATTCTGTGGTTCTTGCCTGATTTTGTTTTTCTGACTTAGTTATGTTATTACCCCATGTATTTCTATGTGTTACCATAGTTCTCAGTAGTGTTTTTAAGAGGAAGCCTTCACACAGGAAGGTTCTTTTTTTTTGGGGTAGAGTCAAGTTTTATTCTGAAATGGGAGGTAGCTTATATAAGAGTGAATAGGTGGGAGAAGGATGGAAAGAAAGAGTGCTGGAGCTTGAACGTGTTTGTGGAGTTCTGGCTCTTGGGCTGTGGCTGTTTGTGCAGCAGGCTGGCAAGGTAAACATGAGTGAGTGTATCTGCTAATCCCAGGACCAGAAAGTCTCCTTTCCTGTATATTTTTTTCATCGGTTATCAGGGATACCATTTGGCATTGTTTGGTAGTGAGAATGGGACAGCCTTGTTGCCCAGTCAGACCCTCTGCTCTTTTCTGTGTATTAATTTCTTGAAATCTCCTATTTTCCACTTTCCATTTCCACAGCCAATGTTTAGTGAAGAAAGCATGGACTAGTGGTGGATATGGAGGGAGAGGAGCTGTTCTTTTACACTATCTATTAATTTCCATGTCATAATGCTTAGTCACATTTTTCCAGCACATGCTCAGACTGCATCAGTGTTCCTTGGTTTTAGGAGTCTTGCTCTATGCAGAGGGCTGAGGTAGACCAGATGTGTCTCTCCTGGGATTGTTCTGGAAGATCATGTGCATAGCTATCTGGCATACTGGGGAGTTCCTGCCAACAAGAGATGTTTGAATTCATTGATCTAGGTTAAGGTTACCACACATAATTCTTGGAATTATTTCCAGGCTGCACTTTGGGTTGTCAATGTATAAATTGCCTAGGACACCTATTTTCACATGGATGTGAAAGCTCTCTGCACATAGTTGTATGTACCAGATTCACAAAGATTAGAGGATTACAAATTGTTCAATTCCAAAATCCTATATCAACTCAGAGAAGAAAATAGACAAGTTGTACAGTCCATAACCTTTTGAATAAATGGAACCGTAGTAAATAATCTTCTGAAAAATAATACCTAAGTCCAATGGCTCTACTCTTACATTGTGCTGAGTGTTCTGGAAAGAAATTATTTCATGTTCATATAAATTCTTCTTTAGTATTGAAAAATGAGATACAGTCTAATTCATTTTTTGTCAATGACATACCATTCCTACCAAAATCTGATAAAGTATATGGAGGGTTTAACACAGGTTAATCTCTTGATGATGTCAAGCATAGTATCTTTAAAAAATTGTAGCAAACTGAATTTAGCAATTTATCAAAAGGATAATCCACTATGAAAACAGTCAAACTCCAGGAGTGCAACGTTGGTTTAACCACATCAGGAAACATTAGAAACTCAATAGAAAGCTTGATATGAACCAAATAAAAGAAAAATGATACGACTTCCCCAAAAGATGGAGAATAAAAATATTCAATGTAATATAACATCATAAATCCAGGAGAAGTACTTGATAAAATTTAACATCAATTCCTGCCATAAAAATTCTTACCAGAGGAATAATTAAAGGGTTCTTTATTAATAATTTATAATTGGTAGTAGAAAAAAAACTAGCTAACATCAGACATGATTTAGGGACATGAAGTAGGGAACAAGACAAGGAAGCCAACTGGCACCCCTTTAATGCTACATTTACAGCACACTCAGGCGGGAAATAAAACAAAAGATTAAAATTTGGGAAAATAAAACATGGAAGTCACAGATGATGTAATTATCAGTTTAGAAACTCTAGGAACATTAATTACTACACTTAATGAGCGAGTTGGGAATCATTACTGCATATAAATTCTAATGTACAGAAAACAATTCCGCATGTATATATCAGAAACAAGAAACTGGAAAATGAAATTTTAGAAGAATTATAATAACATTAGAGGGATCATCTTACCAATTTTACGTCTAATAAAGATCCTGTGCCTACTTGTGGGCAAAAGTATTAAACATTGTTAGAGGCATTGAAAAAGATATGAATAAATACATAAATTCTGTGGAAAACCCAGAGGTGTTCAATTTCCTAGTTGATTGCGAAGGCCAAGGAGAGTCAAGCCAGTCTTGAAGAACAAAGTGGGGACATTTGCTGTAACTTATATCAAGACTTTTAAAAAAAAGTTACAGCAATTTGAACAAGTGATTTAAATGCACAGAACAACACAAAGGAATGGAATTCACATTGAGATGTAGAGAGGGGATGGTCTTTTCCTAAGTGATGTGAAGACCATTAAGCATCTAGGAAAATAGAAGAAAATTGAAATTAGCCTCATACCACCCAGTCAACCCTAGGCAGGTAGAGATGTCAGTGGGAATGGTCAAACAAGCCTTTTATCAGATAATATGGTTAAATGACCTCAGAATAATGAAAGTTTTAAAACAAAATAGAAATGCAGAAACCACAAAGGACAACTTGAAATATTTGCATATAACAAACCAATAACTTAATTTTACTGGAAACATTACAAAAGAGCAAAAAGGTAGGGCAGAAAAATGAGAAGGATATATACACATGTAACCATCAACATTCTGGTATTTAATTATATTAAAAAAACTAAACGAACAGGAAAAAGAGCAGCAGTGGTTTGAAAATTAGGCAACACTTGAACAGTGACACCACAGCAGAGCAAACCACAGAAGGACCAAAATGATCACAAAGATTCCTCACTTTGTGACTCAGCAGGACCATGCAACAGACAGCACAGGGGGTGTAGCCTCACTGCCACTAGATTCCCAAGAGTTGACAACCCAGAGGGTGGGCAAGGGGGTGGATCCTCAGGAAGTGTCCTTCACTGCAGGTAAGAACGTGGCCT